CCCCAAAACCCCAAAACCCCAAAACCCCTAAGATAGACAACCAGATAGAACCCCTGAATATAATATATCTAAATCAAAAATGGATAGTAAAATTTAAAATTCTAAACTTACCCATTTGTGAGTATTTTATGAGAGGATGAAAGTGTAAGGGTGTGTGCCAATTCGTTATTACAATTTAACATCATTGAATCCATTTTCATCAAGAATTTGTCTTAATGTTTTTCTTCCAATACCACAGTACACAACTTTTATTGTTTTGATGCTCAGCTTAAAATCTGGAGAAGTGGCTAGTCATTGAATTAGGGTGATAAATTTTTAAGGATTGTCCTTCCAATCAGAAAATACAGGATTTCCTCAAAATACAAATTCAAGGTGGTTGATCTTGGTATTCCTCATTGATTTAGAAAGGTCAAAGACTGTAGGGACTAAGATTTTGCAACCAGCGAATTTTATTTCAGAAATGTTCTTATATGAAGCCATGATTCTCTTAAACTGGTGAGCATTGATTCTGAATTTACTAATAATAATTAGCTTAAATACTTTATAGTTAATCCTCATGATTGTATTGAAAACAGGAGAGGTTATTTGAGGAATATATGAGCCAGAGTAAACTGTTAAAGCTGCCATCTTCTCTGGGAATGAACGTTTGATGCAATTTGCAATTTTTTTATTCTTAGTGTTTACAAAAAATAATTCAAAATTCTCAACAATAAACGATACGAAAAAATTAAGTTTCTTAACAAAAGCTAGTGTTTCCTGCCTCATAAATTTTATAGGTCTATCTTGAGGAAAAGTATCTTCTGTAGCTGAATCATGAATATTGTAATGCTCTAATTCTTCTGAAAAACTATTAAAAAAGTAATCTTTTCCAAATATTTTGTGAATTTTATTTTCTGTTTTCAAGACAGTTCCCTCTCTTCTATATGTTAGATATTTTTTAGGGTTTCATAAAGTTCAAGATATACATCTAAGATCTGAATTTATTAGTATTTTAGTTTTTAAATTCCAAAATTTGAACAAAAGAGTCTCATAAGATGTTACTGAATGAAAAGATGTGGGAGATTGCTAATTAAATCAAGGTTCCTCTTCTTCTTTTCATCTCTTCATCAGAAAGTACATCCAAAGACAATGAGGAAAAATAAGGAAGAAGTTTTAGAAAGATATAAGTGCTTCTTCCTTGTAAAAAGCAAAAAATTTGTTAAATCATGGTGCTTGGGTTTCGTTAGTATAATTAGGGACCCGAAGGGTAAGAAAAATTCGTAGTATAGCTTGTCACTCAGTTCACAAGTTTCAATTTAAATTAAACTCAAGCACCAAAGGTTTCCTTGCGAAGGGTTCAAGTAATATAGTTAGTAGTGCACTTATGAGATTATTATGAACTTAACCTAACTAAGGTCTCCTAGATCTTGGGTTGAACTAACTCCAGGATTTCAGTATTGTCTTTATTCATAGGTTGAGATTTATACTCCATTTATTAATATATATTAAATTTATTTCCAATATATGCTCAGAGGTGTGGGGTTTTGGGGTTTTGGGGTTTTGGGGTTTTGGGG